CTATATTCAAGCTATATTCAAGCTATTACTATAAACCAAATTTTATCCGGTTGATGTTAAGGACTAATTAGGCACATAGAGCCCTTCATGTGTGACCATCATAAACAGGAGATGGAGGTCTTTTTTTGATCCAGTAGCGAACTACATGCAGCTAGCAACCCCCCTTACTGCAGTCAAGAGGGGTGTAGCCTCAAGGGCTACACTCCCTCGACAGCCCTTGGATGATGGTTGGTAGAGTTTTCGTTTTGACCCTGATTGGTCATTATTTTGTGAGATGACGGATGTTCCACTCATTGATAAAAATGGACCACTCGAAGAGGTCACGAATAGTGAGCGGTTCTCCCTGTCCCGCTCTTCTTTATTTGGGGAGTCTATATGTCATCAAGTAGTGGTACTGTCGCGTTCAAGCTCTGGTAAGGAAAGATTTGATAAGCTTGTTCAACCCCCTGTATAGTTTACTCAAGTGATAGACAACTACATAGTTCTGGTGTAGAAGAGGAGGTAGGTATTCCGGTTGTCTATGATTCGATCTCTTTCCGTTTTGGGTGGTGTGGAGGTTGGCTCTTCGTTGTTGAGTAGTCGGTCGAGCTCTTGACTGGTGAGTCTGGAGACTTTATGGTCATCAACCAGGAACCATTCTTGCTGGCGTCTGACCACAGTAACGTAGTGTCCAGAAGCAACGGAGGCACCGATATGTAAAATGATACTAGTCAATTTGTATCTGATGATGCTGTTCTGATTCGTGTCTGTGGTACTTGCGTCTGATACGAGATCCAAATCCCGGTCTTCATTCTCCGTGCCGAAACCTCGTGAATTATGACCACTATCGCGACTGCGTTCTCGACCACCATTAACCTTGCCCCCACCATTAACCTTATCACCGTCTTCAATCTCATCAACGTCGATGTTCGACTGTCCTCCACATCTTGCTTCAAATGGAAGCTCCAAATCTATCTTTATCAAGTTATTGACTTTCCCATAGCAGCCAGATTCTCGATTCACGTCATACTTAATCAAACTTATTGTCAAGACCGATGGATACTTCTGGATCCATGTCTGACACTTCCCCACTGTCTTAATCTTGCAACGATCACAGTCATACAGGTTATCTCCCGTCAAATATTCTGGTGCTTGGTAGTTGTCCAAAGCGCCCTTCAAAGACCGGACTTGGGCATTGCATGTGACTGATATGTTACGGTACGACTCCTGTCTCCGGCATATACTATCACACCCTGTGCAAATGTATTGCCTCTCCAGCTTACCGGTAAACAACATATCATAGCAATATGACGCATCCATCAAGAAATCAAAAAACTCCAATGCGTCCTGCTGATCTGTCGCATTCCAGTATGAGCTGACCTTGTTCGCATTTCGCAGCATCTAAAACAAACCAATCATGAGCAGCAAAGTAATACATGTATCACAACGGTGTCCACAACGGTGTCCACAACGGTGTCCACAACGGTGTCACAACGGTGTCCACAACGGTGTCCACAACGGTGTCCACAACGGTGTCCACAACGGTGT